TTATTCAAAAGACAATTTTCCATGGGAATTTTTGATAAATATATCAACACGACCTAAACCCTCAAACTGTAAGAGTTGGATCAAGTCGATCCTTATTACTCTAATCAAATGTATCTTTCAGGAGGTATTTTTTCTCATTGTGTCATATATAGAGAATACTAAGAAAGCATTAAAAATATATTAAGCAAGGAAGGATTCTTACTAGTCAAGCAAGAAAATCACTTATGGAAAGCATAGAGAAAGCATTTCTCACTAGATTAGTATTATATACATAATGCAAATTGCAATAGACCTTATTAAAACTTTAATTAGGGAAATACTACTGGTATTAGAGTATGAGTGTATTCTAGGTTTTTTCTGCCAAAATTCTCAAAGAACTTTCTGTATTACACATTTATTTCTTTGCTTTATGTTTCTATATAATCTGCTTTATATTTTCTTTACATAATTTGTTTTCTATGTTCTAAAACTTTATCAAACATCTCTCAAAATAAATACTAATAATCACCACAGCGCTGAATCCAGCCAATTATTCCCATCTCCTCTTACTTGACATCTTAGTACAGTTTGGCCTGATGATCTACCTCTGTCTTTTTGGAAATCCTCTTGTCCTCTGTCTACACTATAGTATATCACACTTGATTGCTTTCTCTTTTATCACTGTGGACTTTTCTCGCTTATTAAAAGCCCACCTTTTCCATAAATCCACAAGATGTCAGAATTCCTCAACTATATTTGTTTCAGCAATCTTTTCATTTTCACTTTATGTTATCAACCTAGGTAATGACATCCACCTCCACGGTTTCAATTGCCTATATGTTTATGTCTTTCAAATGTATATATCCAGTTCTGACATTCTTCCAAGCTCTAAACCCAATTGTCCATGTGTTTATTTGGATGGCTGAAACAGCTTTAACTAGCAGGTCAACAGAAACGAATCGTTCCCTGTCATTCCCAAACAGGATATCTCCCAGGAATCACCATTTGAATAAACTGCAGCACAATCCACCCTGTTGCACAGTCAGAAACCTAAGTATCATATCTGGTACATAATTTACCAACACTAACATATACAAATCCACTCAATCATATGGATTATTTTATCTAAATGCATTGAGTTATTTCCATCACCACTGCCACTTCACCAAAATCATAACATGCAAAATTGTTCTCATCTTTCAGTAAGACTATTAGAATAATATTATTTCCCAGTTTTCTTTTTTTTTCACCCAGAATTCAGGTTTAATTTTACTACACCGAAATCTGACTTGCCATTTAACTACTGAGAAAACTTCCATAACTTTCTATTACCCTTATGATAAAATCAGCATCCTTAATACAATCTAACACCTTGCATAAACTATCCCTAATATAATATGCATATAATAATTATTAAATTCTTACTATTAGTTATGAGCAAAATTATATCCAAATCCTGCCCTCAATAAGTTTGCTAATAGAAAAGGAGAAATAAATTAATCAAATAATTCTACAATCAAATGTAAAAATGCAGCTATGACCAGTATGAGAAGAGTTCATAGAACTTTGTGAACCTGTGATAAAGGGATCTGATTTAGGCATAGACGTGCAGGAAGTCTTGATGTCTAAAATGTTTGAGCAGAAATCTAAAGAAAGATTAAGAAATTACGAGATTTTTTTAAAAAGAGTTGTTTTTATATCTTCTCATATATATTTTTTAAAGATTTTATTTATTTATTTTTAGAGAGGGAAGGGAGGGAAGGAGGGGGAGAGAGAGAGAGAGAGAGAGAGAGAGAGAGAGAGAGAGAGAGAGAGAGGGAGAGAAACATCAATTTGTGGTTGCTGGGAGTTATGGCCTGCAACCCAGGAATGTACCCTGGCTGGGAATCGAACCTGGGACACTTTCGTTCCCAGCCCGCACTCAATCCACTGAGCTACGCCAGCCAGGGCTAAATTACGAGATTGTTAAAAAATGAAAATGACTGCTCCATTAGAGAACATCATCATGTTCAAAGCATAGAAAAGATAATTTTGATCCTTTACAGATAGAAAAATGCTTTGTTTGGATATATATGTGTATGTATATATATATACACACATATATACATGTGTACACACACACACATTTTATGACCTACGTATTTATTGGTGTGCACTAAAAAAGTGAATATTCTACTGTTAGGTACACTGTAACATATTGTGAATGGCTTAGTGAAAACTCAACTGTAATTATGGATGTTTATTTCTCCTTGCAATTCAGCCACTTTTTGATTCATGGATTTTGATGGTCTCTTTTTAGGTGTACATAAAGATTTATGATTATTAACTTCACATGATGAATTGACCTATCATTATGAAACAATTTTCTTTTTTTCTGAAAATATTTTTTCCTCTGAATATAGGCATACATCATTTTATTGTGCTTCACTTTATTGCACTTTGCAGACATTGCATTTTCATCAACATCAAGGCTTCATCCTCTACCAGCAAAAAGATTATACCTGGCTGAAGTCTCAGATGATGGTTAGCATTTTTTAACAATAAACTATTTTTAATTAAGGTATGTACATTTTTTAGACATAATGCTATGGCACACTTTATAATAGCCTACAGTACAGTATAAGCACAACTTTTTATTTTTTTATTGTTCAAGTACAGTTGTCTCCATTTTCACCTCACCAGAGCCCCCGCCTGAGCACAACTTTTATAGGCACTGGGAAAACAAAAAATTCATGTGACTCCCTTTATTGTGATATTCACTTTAAGGTGGTGGTCTGGAACTGAACTCAAAATATCTCTGAGGTATGCCCACATGCACATGTACCCTAAAACAGCCATCCCTTCATTCTTTTAATTAGTATTAGCACGGTATATTTTTCCATCCTTTTACTTTCATCTATTTGTTTTTATATGTATTGCATTTAATATAATTGTTTTTGTATCTAATCTGATAATATCTACCTTTTGTGTATCTGAAGCATTTTCATTTAACTAGTTATTCATACAGTTAGGCTTAAAGTCTTTCATTTTGCTACTTGTTTTGTATTCCTCTTGCCTCTTCTTTCCCTTCTTTTTTTCTTCCTTCTTTTGAATTAGTTGACTGTTATTTAGATACTTTTATCTCCCTATTGACTTATTAGCTCTAATTCTTTATTTTGTTATTTTACAAGTTGCTTGTATTAGTTTTCTAATGCTGCACAACAAATTACAATTTAGCTTCTTAAAATGACACATTTGTTATCTGTTTCCATGAGACAGCGTTTTGCATTCGTCTCATAAGGTTGCAATCAATGATATTAACTGGGTAGTATTTTTTTCTGAAGCCTCAATTAGGGAAGAATCTACTTGCAAACTTGCTCATATTGTTTGCACAATTCACCAACTTGTGGCTGTTTGACTGAGGGTCCCATCTCCTTACTAGTTGTCACCTGTTGTATTTTTAAGGCCAGTAGGAGAATCTCGCTCTTCAATTTGCAGTCAATTATTATATAATGAAATGGTGTTATGGGAGTGACACATCATCACCTTTGCCTAATAAGTAGCCTGCCTAATCAAGAGAATGGTATCTCATTACCTTTACTATATCCTCTCTCTTAGGAGCAAGTGACAGCCCATGACAGGTTCCACCTCCACTTGAAAAGATTATATGAGAGAGTGAGTCACTGGTGGCCAACAAAGGATGTGTTGACACTACTGCTTAAAAGATTATAGTTTACAGTTTTAACTACTTTCACCTGATATACAACTTGACCTAAACTACAAAGACACATAATTTGCTCTCATTTCTTTTCTCCCTCACTTTGTGCTACCTTTTACTTTTGCACATGATAAATCCCACAACACATTATGTTGTTTTTATTGATACAATTCATTTATTATTTTTATAAAACAATAATTATCAAGAAAAGCATACACATTACTCAAAGTTATCATTTCTGGTACTTTTCATCTCTTTGCATACATTCAGATTTCAATGAAATGCCATTTTCCTTCCAACAGACTTCTTTCACATTACTTTAGTGCAGATCTGCTCATGACATATTGCTTCAAGTTTTGATGTACAGGTGTCTTTAGTTAGAAGGGATGTTTCCTGTACATAAAAAATCAAAGGCAACTTTTTTTATTCTAATAGTACTTTAAATATGTTATTTCACTGTCCTCCTCGTTAACAGTCTGGTCTACTTGAGTTTTGCTTTTAAGATTTGTTAGGTGGCTCTACTAGCTTAGGGCGAATTATTCCCTATTACTAAAGCATAGCCTGTCTGGGTACTCTACACCCAGCGCCCCACGGATTAAGTTTTCCAGCCTAACTGGTGGAAACAGTCACTATTTCTGACCCTAAACAGCTCTAGAAATACTTGAAACTCTTTTTGGGCAGTGTCCTGAGACAATGCCCATTTCTAAGCTGAACACTTGAGAAAACTGTAGAACTGAGTTCTCTCTCTGAGCAACTCTCTCCTTTTTCCTACACGCTGCTGAGAACATTACCTGTCTTGATCTCTCCAGAATATCAACTTAATCTTGTCAGCGCAGGTAATCCGCTGGGCTCTGCTTGGGTCCTCTCTACCTGCACCGCATTCTGGAAATTTTTTAAAGGCCGTAAGCTTTTTGAGCTGCTATTTGTTCCCTGTGTCTCCAGGATCACTGTTCTGCGTGACAGATGCCAATTATATTAGAAGACAGACCCGGTATTCTCTTTCTACCTAGGAGTTTTTTAAAGACAAAATTAATGCTGGGAGTTTCCCCTAAATCTTAAAATCATTGCAATGTTTTTCCCTCCGGCACAGCACAAAAAAAAACTAGCCGGACACCACCAACTGAATTAGCTAAACACCCCAAAATTTCCAACTCTGCCTTTGGCCTAGCGCGCACGCGCAAAACTCCTGATTCCCCGTCCAGACCATCTATAACTGCGCCTGCGCCGTACGAGGTGGCGCACGGAAGCGCGAATCCGCGCCTGCCAATGAGAGCACACGACGATCCTTGATTCCCGCCCATCAACCGGTAACCAATCGCCAGCTCCGGCGCGCGGTCGGCGGTGTATCCAAACAGGAAAAGGTATTAAGGAGGCTAAAGCTGAATCGCGGCGCGAGGAAGGATGCAGGCGGAGGAGGCTGCGGCAGAGGCTGCAGCCCTAGAGTAAGTGTCTGCCTTGGGGCGGGCCGGGGTGGATCTTGCGGGTCCCCGAGTGCAATTGACAGTTCTCTGGATCCCTTACAGCTGTTTAAGTTCGACTCTGTGGTAGGTGGAGTGATCCTGACCTCAGACTCCAGTCTTAGGTTATCGGTGTGCCTTACCTCTCTCCAGAGGTACGGCCCGCGAGGGACTGCCCGTAGCTCCCCTCAAATGTACACCTCCTGGGAGTGTGCCCTGGAAGGGGGCGGTTTCATCCCTGCCAATCCTCCCATCTCTTCGGAGACTGCATCGTCCAACAGAAGACTCTATATCCAGGAAAGATTCCTGGAAGGACCTTTTCATTTCTGTCCCTACTGTCCTACACACTCTCCCATTGGGTTATTTTTGTCGATCCCTGCCTCCTAATAGACCACTACAGCCCTTATCACGGAAGAACTCAAGAGAACCTAAATCCTAGCATCTAGACCTCTGTCCTAAGCCCCACTCCGAGGTTAGTACGCTCTGCCGGGTGGGCACCCACTGCCCATCAGTTTTGCCCTGATTTTTTCCTTTCCCTGTACATTTCCCTTAACTCACATGGTTTCTCCTTAGTGAGACACTTGCCACCCCACACTCCTTATTTCCCTCTCCCTTGTCCTGCTTATTTTTCCTCATGCTACTTATTACCTGCATATGTTCTCCACACATACACACCACTCCTGGTCCCAGGTGGCCCTTTCAGCCTGTGTATAGATACTGGTCAGGGCAAGACTGTTGGCATTGACATATACATCTACATATGTGCATCTGTACAAAAGTTCTGCAGAACTAGTAACCCAGGAGACTGTAGTGTTCCCCGTTTCCTTGCCCCTTCAGGGCCCTGGCCAAGCTGGCAAACATTCTGGAGCAGAAGGGTCAGCAGGAGGGTCGGCAGGAGGAGGCAGAACTGCCTGGACAGATCCTGGCTGAGTTTGTGATGGTATGTTCAAGATGGAAGCCAGCTTTTCATAAGCCAGGAACTGTTGCTCCTGGGTCTTTCTGTTGAGGTACTGGGCAGCATTGATGGTGAGCAGACTGGAAGGCAGCCTTGTTGGCATGTAGTACCAGGAGGTAAGGATGTTCCCTGCCTCTTCCCTCCCTCTAAATAGGATTCTCGAAAGAAAGACAAGCTGCTCTGCAGCCAGCTTCAGGTAGTAGACTTCCTGCAGAACTTTTTGGCTCAGGAGGACATTGTCCAGGGCCTGGACCCCTTGGCTTCTGAAGACATGAGCCGTGAGTAGTCAGAGGGTTGGCATAGGGCCTGCTCTGAGTGGGGAAAAAGGAGATGTCAGTCTGGTCAGCTGTATAGCTGATGGAAAGACTGAGGCCCCAGTGTTTCAGGCTAGCAGGCCAAACTTGACTCGAGTCCTCATTCTGGTGGCTTATCTCAGGACAGAAGGCAATTGCAGCCAAGGAGCAATGGAAAGAGCTGAAGGCTACCTACCAAGAACACGTGGAGGCCATCACCACAGCTCTGACCCAGGCCCTGCCCAAGATGGAGGAGGCGCAAAGAAAGCAAGCACAGCTCCAGGAGGCCCTTGACCAGCTCCAGGCCAAGGTGCACCAGGGAGAGGGAAGGACATTCAGAGAGGAGGGGGAAAAGAGTAAACATACTAGGTTGCATCCACTGTCCACATTCCAAAATGCAACCAGAAAAATACACTCCTCCTCTCCTTGTCCTCATTCTTTGCTTACCTACAGAAGCAAGTGGCCATGGAGAAACTCAGAGCAGCCCAGAAGCAGTGGCAGCTGCAACAGGTGGGTCCATTCCCTTAGGAAAATATCTCTTTCTACCACTATGCTATTACCTGGACTAAGTCCTCTGCCTAGGAAACCTTCATCTCCTTTCTTTCTGTGAGGCATTAAAGTACATATGGATACCAACACAGACTTGAATCTTAGCATCACTACTTAATAACTCTATGACCTTGGGCAGTCACCTGACTTTCTGTGCTTCTGTTTCTTCTTCTGTGGTACAGAGGAATATTAGCACCTACCCTAAAAAGGTGTTAAGATGAGTAAGCAATACAGCCAGTGCTTAAAATATATCTGGCACATAGCAAACTAAGTGTTATCATCATCTTTGTGCCATCTAGACTGAAGGGGTTAGGGGAATGGCAGTAAGACCTCAGCATCTGGTGAGCCATGTCTGCATTCTCACTTCTCTTAGGAGAAGCGTCTACAGCATTTGGCAGAAGTTTCTGCAGAGGTGAGGGAGCACAAGACAGGAATTCAGCAGGAGCTTGAGCGGCTAAATCAGGAACTTGGAACCCTGAAGCAGCAAGCAGAGCAGGAACGGGATAAGCTGCAGAGGTGAGACTGGGATCATGGGCTACAGGTTCAGGGTGGTCCAGCTGAGCTTCCTCCCTTGACACTTTCCTCTTTTTTTCCAGGCACCAGACCTTCCTCCAATTGCTCTACACATTGGAGGGTAAGCTGCAGTTCCCAGAGGCAGAGCTGCCATGGCATTCAGATCTTCATGAAACTAAGCCCCAGCAATGGACCCAGCCTCAGGAGCAGAACACTGGAGATACCATGGGAAGAGATGGGGGTGTGTCCTCCAAGCTGAATGAGAAATGGGACAGATGGGCAGGGAGGTAGAAAACCTGGGAGATGGCTCTTACCTGCTGTTCATTCCATGCTCCCCAAGGCCAGTTGCCATAACTTCCTGGGGGGAAGCAACATAGGAAGGGATCCAGCCCAGGGCCTTCTGTTTCTAGACTGCTGAAATGGAGGGAGGGAGCACCTCTGTTCTGCCTGTCTGTATGAGCTCTGTTGTTCTTGGTGTTGTGGGAAGTGGAGAGGAGAAGCAGTTTGTTTTATGGTTGAAGCTTAGCATGTTATCCCCATGTCCAGCCTACCCTGGTCTAACTCCTCTCATTGTTCCCCAATTCCCTTGCCCCACCCTCATCTTAGGTGGACGGTGAACTTCTGAGTACAGCCTGAGTTCGGACTGTGATCCACCAGGGAGCAGGCCCTGCATTCTGTTGATTAAAAGCCCTGGAACTCTCTTATTTGCCTGTTTGTCTATTTATCTTCATATGGTGGTAGGAAGTGCCATATTCAAAGGCCAACAACATGACAGGTGCTGGGACTGGTGTGCATTTAGAGGGTACAGATGGGTAGGGGGCACTGGCCTGGCGCCTCAGGAGTTGCTTGCCAAGTCAATACGATGCAAACATGCTGAGTTTAATTTGGGAGAGGAGAGAATGCTTTATGTAGGTGGTTAGATATGGAAAGATCATTTTAATCACCGATCTGAATGTTTATTGAAGCCCTGGTATATGCCAGCCAGCCCTCTTGCTGTGAACTGGCGCTAGTAGTCCTTGGCCCTGGGGAACATAATGATTGTGAACAAGTAAACAGATTGATAAGATGATTTCTGAGTGTGGTAAAAGAGCGTAGCAAACTAAAACAGTCGTGCAATAAAGAGCAGTACTGAGAGAATATAGAGAAGAATCAGTACCAGCCTGTGTCTGAGTTAGCATTTCCATTTGTATGTGTGTTCCTGTATCTATTTTTGTTGTTTTTTCACTTACAGCTTATATTTAATAGTCTCAGTTTTCAGATGTACAACATAGTGGTTAGACAATCACGTACTTTACAGAGTGGGCCCCCAGTATTTCAAGTAGCCAGCTGGCCCCATGCGTAGTTACTACAGTATTACTGTGTTTGCCGCTTTCAGTATCCATTCCTCTCTAGAGCTGTTGCTAGCTGTGTGGATGTTGGGAGGGTACTACTGTGTGAGAGATTATATCCCTGACTCGCTGTGTGGGAACTGCTCTCTGAGAAAGCTAGTGGGATACTCATTCTCTATAGGTGTGAGAAAGACTTGTCCCTTTGTTTTTGGTGAGAGAGAGCTTCAAGAAACCCTGGTCCCTCTTCTATCTCAGATGGGGATGCCTTCTCTCAGGTGGTGACTGAGATCCCTGTGCGTGCTGATGGTTTGCTCTGCTTTCCTGAGGTGTCCCTAGTTTTCCCTTACATTGTTCTTATAAATGTACTAGCCCCATTTTTTAGGTATGAAACAGGACAGATATCAGGGCCCTTGGAGGGTCTGCATCAGGACAGAGTGAGTGGTCAGTGAAGATCGAGGATGCTCTTCTAGGGAGCACACAAATACCCAGAAAGCCTTCTTCATTCTACCCATCTCACCCCCTCCCACATGGTCCCTGCCGCAGCTTGCTCTCTCTTGCACCCCAAATACTCAGTCCCATCCTTCCCTCTCTTCCTACTGAGTAGGTTCCCCTACTCCTCCAGTTTGGTTTCTTTTTCTAGTCTCATATACTCTGAAGTTTTTGGAGTACAGAGGAAACAGCAAGAATGTATCCATCCTGGGAAAGGAGTGGCTACCAAAGGACTTGGGCTGTGATTTGGGATGGGGTGAAGCTCCCTGTTCTTGCACACATGGTAGCTGACAGAGTTAGCAGGGAAGGGAAGACTCCGTGGAGCTCCTGAGATACTCTAGGCCAGGGGACTTAGAGGTCTGCAAACTGCTGGGAACCAGATTTCTCTCAAGGTGTATGAAATGAGTCAGTTCACAGTAAAGCCAAAGACGAGTGGAGGCTTCAGTATCTTTTTGTTCAAATCCCCTAATTTGCCTGTGTGGCTGGAGCCTTCTGATGGGCAAAAGTGTCTTGACTAAAAAGAATTAGGATTTATTTTCAGATGGAAGCTAGATTTCAGCTTCCAGCTGTTCTCAGTCCCCTCTAGGTTCCCCCAAAGGCTCTCCTTTTCCTCATTCACTGACACTTGCCCAGGTAGACATGTGCAAGAAGGGAGCCTATCCTTGAGAAATAATCTCTTACACAAAGACATGGACACTTGGGAGTCTACAGCGACTGCTGTAAAGGCCCCATTTGGCCAAAGATTTTCTCTTCCTCTTTTCCCTCCAAGGGAGAGGCACGGAAGCCCTTGAGAGCACAGGGGTGGAGACTAGCTAGTGAATCTACTCAGTCAAGACACTGTTGCTCTGTCTCAGCCAGAAGAAGACTTCTTGGGTAACAAAGTGAAGAGTAAGCTTACTCCATTAAATGAATAGGAAAACGTTCTTTTTCTATTTTCTGTAAGAATAATTTTTTTAAATATAGTATTTTTTCTTTATTGTGGAACATTCTTTTGCTTATTCAAGTTTTAATTTCACATCATTTAGGTATTATATTTTTTAAGAATTTTTTATTCCTGTCTTTTACATTTGTTCATGTGTAGTTGTCATAATCTGTTTATATCTGCATTCAGTTTAAGGATGGCCTAATGTCATATTCCTGATTTTCATCTAATCTTTTCCTTGATCCATCTTTTCAAATATTTATTCATTTTTAAATACCCAAAGATCATCTTTTTATATTTGCTATTGTATGTTTATTTTGGTTCATTTATGTGTTGTAATATCCTGATAATTTCCTACCCTCACACGTGTGTACACACACAGTCCTGGAACGCAGACAGAATTGGCTAAGATACGCATATACTTTTCTTTTGTTCCCATGGAAAAATAACCTCAGAAAATAAAAACCCTTATCTATGAAGAGATAAATTGTCCAAATTACTGATTGTTCACCACACTGACATAGCTAAGCTACATTTCCTACCCTCCTTTGGAGTTAGCTGAGGCCATTGTGCCTGGGCTGTAGCCAGGCTGATGGGCACAGAAGTGATGTATGCTGCTTATGAAACCCTCCCACATACCACCTTCCAACTTCCTCTGACTTCTGGCTAAATGAAGAGGATACTTGGCATCAGGAGGAAGGCAGATGCACAAAATTGAGGGAGCCTGAGTCCTTGCCACTTGGAAGAAACAGCTCGAATGAAGACAATTGTGTTTGACCATTGTATGAGTGAGGAAGAAAATTTCTGTATTAAAAGAAACCACTGAAACATAGAGGTTGTTATATCAGGTACGTTGAACATTCTGGATTCAAGTCAGATTTCTCCAGGCAAATATCTCTGGAATTCCTCCTTTAACCTTTTGTGATAATAATTAAACATTTGTTAGACTGGGAAAAGCCACTTCTCAAAGGATCATCTCAAAAACCAAAAAAATTATACGCTGCAAATGGAATGGTGGTCAAAGGTAGGGATAGGAGTTTTATCAAATTTTCCATTTCCCATTAAACATATACATGATTTGGAGCAATGATTGGTGAGATATTTGTAACTTAAAATATGTAATAAATCATAAGATATTCCTGTGTTCCTAGGAAAACTAAACAGAGAATCATGTTGCCTCAGTAAGAAGGTTTATAAACCATTTTAACGTGAGTTTTAAAATGAATCTTCCCTGTACTGACCCCTGTTCTAAACACCAGACCAAGGTTTGTGTGGCAGGTTTGTAATATGCTAAGCTTACACCTGTAAATCCAGGGACACTGATAAATGTTACTCTGAGTTCGAAATATTCTGTCCTGGGGGGAGATTGCTTTTGCTTACTCAACTGCTGCACTTCCTTTGCTGTGAGTCATTTAATTATGCACATTCATGTAAGTGTTCTCCCCCTTTTTACTTCTTACATCCCTTGCAGTACTTTATCTCTGACCTGTTTGTTAGTCTTGCCTGAGAATTTATAAGCAGGTGAAAAAATCACCATTATAACTGGTTCTCGAAATTTGTTGTTAAAAAGTGTTTGCAGTGTCATGGTTCAGTGTTGTAAGTGAAAATGTTGGCTTTCAACATGGTGTTTCAGTCTAATTTGAATATCCCAAGCAAATGCAAAAAAACTTTAAATGAGAAATGTTTTGATTGCATCTGTTCCCAATTGGTACTCTCATTTGTATTATTTTCATTTTTTATATTTATAACAACATAATGGGGTAGATATTTATCAGCAGTTAGAAGTTATTTTAATAGACAATAAAACTTACAGTTTTATAATTACTAAAATATGAAATGTATTTGAAATTATTTGACAAACCTTTAAAAAGCAATGTATTTATCACAGCTATCTTTAGCGTATCACAAAAGCAAAGAGCCTGTTGGGTAGCAGCTAGGAATGAGTGGCCCCAGGGGAAACAAAGCAGGGCCCTGGCCTTTACAATCTAACAAAGAGCTTATACAGAAGGCTAGAAGCAAAAGGAAGAATGTCTCACCAATTAATTCAGCAGTCTTGAGCCTGGTTTGATAAGATTGCCAGGTGTCCAGAGCACTACAAGCAAAAATAGTGCAGGAGAAATGGGAGTTTTTGAGACTGCTGAGAAAGGGGGACTTCTGCAACAATCTCACTAAGATCACTGATTGCCCTGAACATCACCAGCAGTCCTACTGGGGTGCAGGGACAGGGTTCCTTGAGATTCTATGCTGGGAAAGGGAGACTTTGTAACCACTTCACTAACTAGACAGAAAGCCTTTACTAATTAAGAGGAAAGCCTTTGTATTAATTCCAAGGTCTAGAAGGGGGAGAAGAAGGGATACCTCGAAGCTGGCTAAGGTGTATAACCCTCAGTCCCCAATAGTCGGCATACTTGGATTAGCTAAGTACCCATTTGTAGTCTTGGCTCTGGTGTATAGAGCAAGCTTACTGATTTACTAACCAACTTACTGACAACTTTATTTCCTCTATATGTGGGGCATTTAGACTTGCTGAGTGTCTGCTTGCAGCTTTGTGCTATATGTGTTTCCTAAATAGACTTGCTATCTCATTTGCACTATACATGTTGTCTCCTGCTTTAATTCGTCTTTTGTGGAGGGAAAAGGGCTGAGCAACACACTGGAGGGGGTGGGGGCGTGACTTGAGGCTCTCCTTGACAAGTCAAGATCTGTTGCACGCTGAGCGTGCAACCACCTGGCACTCACCATATTTTATAAAAAAAGTGCTATTAATATTTCTAATTGTGTACTGTTTGTCTTTTCTATCCTCGTATTATTATTACAAAATACAGTGTTTATTGTGTGATTGGTGGTCAAGACTTGTTTCTTTCCCCCTCTGCACACATTTAAAATTGCAAATGATTTAGAGCAGATGGAGCCTTCAAAGAAATCTTCAAATGAGTGAGAGAGGCTTATTGCACACTATAATGAA